ATAATTTTTTTATTTTAAGTAATTTTATATATTAATTTAATTAGAAAATATACATACATCAATTATAACATAATAAAAATATTTATAAATTATGATACTTATTATATTTTACTTGAATTTATAATTTTTTATATAAAAAGTGATATATTAACTATATGATAACAAAAATAACAAGATATTTATTTATTTTACATAATAACTACATTTATTATTAATATAATCATAAAAAAATAGTAATGTAAAATTAATATAATTGTCTAAAATTACACGTTTTATGATTATTTTAACAATTACACGACGAATTATTTTTAATAATATGATTTATATTAATTATCACTTCTTAATATTTAATTTATATTTTTCTTATCAAATTTTAAATATAAGATGATAGAATAAAAATATAATGAAACATATTAGATGATAATATAATGTAATTGCTATCAGAGTATGATTGTATATTTATATTTACAACAATGACATAATTAATGAGATTCTAATCATAACGCGTTTGTTATTAATCTAGAATAAAATTATGATATTTTTATTTTTAATGATTTACAAGTAGAAATAAACCACTATCGACTTTATTATTCTTATCTATTTTATATTTAAAACAAATAAAATTTATAAGAATAATAAATTCATGTTAAGCTTATTTTATGTGAAATTAAGTATATTTCCACATTTATTATTATTATAATTATTATTTTTTAAAAAATAGAGGAACAGAATTTAAGAGAAAAATTTGTAGGGAAAACTTGTTTTAAAAATTTTATTTCCTCGCCAGGATTTATGATGTATGTATGTACCGAGAGCTCTACCTCTTACTCCGTCTTCGTAGGGAAGAATATCAATACGCACGGAATCTTACTGTGATAATCGCTTATTCAAAGCTAGGGTTCTAATCCTGCAAATCCACATTAAGCTTCAATCGAATCTCAGTGCATTTGTAAGTTAAATTTTCTCATTTGTTTCCTCCATTTATTGAGTTATCAAGCTTGCATCCAAATAAAGGATATATGACCAAATAATCACAGGAAGAGTTATTCCATGGTTAGAGCTCCATCCAATTTTATCGCCTTCTGTAGGCAGAAACCCCGTAATAGACTAAACTCTTGTACGCGGACACGAAATCTAATTCTAGAATCCGGAGAAGGTGGTTCCAATGGCGAAGAACTGAAACTCAATAAGAAAGAAGAGGATAAACCGGAAAACGATCGCCAAACTTACGCGGGCATTGTTAGAGAGGTCTGCGATATCACGAGAACCAGACCTAGATGGGAGCAGACTCTCGCTTCCATTTTTCCTTCGTTTAATTTCTCGGATCCCAAATTCTTTCACGATCTTCTGAGTGAACAAAATAATGTGTTTCTCACACTTCGTTTCTTTCAATGGGTGCATTCCCGTTACGAGTTTTCACCTGACGCAGTTTCTTGTAGAGTGATTTTTGATGCGCTTGTGGAGGCTAAAGCCTTGCAGGCAGCACAATTTTTTCTCCATAGTACTGGTTTTAGTCCAGACCCGGCTTCATTAGAATGTTATATAAGGTGCCAATATGAGAATGGGTTGGTTGAGGATGGATGTGATGTGTTGTCTAAGTTGCAGAAGGCTGGATTTCGCCCCGCAATGAAAACTTGGAATTCCGCATTGTTGGGATGTCTCAAGGTTGGGAGGACAGATATTGTGTGGAAATTGTATCAAGAAATGATGGAATCTGGTGCTGTTGCAGATGTTGATGCTGAAACTGTTGGTTGTCTAATTCAAGCTTTTTGTGAAGATGGCAAGTCTTCTGAAGGTTATGAGCTTCTACAACAGGTTCTGGAAGATGGTTTGGAGCCTGGAAATGTCACTTTTAATAAGCTGATTGCTGCTTTCTGTAAGGAGAGGAAGTATACTAGAGTGTCTGAAATCCTTCATAGAATGATTGCAAGGAATCAAACTCCTGATATTTATACATATCAAGAAGTTATCAATGGACTTTGTAAGAAACGAAAGCGACTTGAGGGCTATCGGATATTCAATGATCTCAAGGATAGAGGGTATGCCCCTGATAGGGTCATGTATACAACTATGATTCATGGCCTATGTGAAATGGGATGGCTTGGTGATGCTAGGAAGCTGTGGTTTGAGATGATAAATAAGGGATTGCTTCCAAATGAGTTCACTTACAATGCACTGATTCATGGTTATTGTAAGATCGCGGACTTTGAAGAGGCCAAAAAGGTGTACAAAGAGATGTGTGCAAGAGGATATGGGGAAACAACAGTGACCTACAACACGATGATTGCTGGATTTTGCTTACATGGATGGACAGATGAGGCACATGGCTTGTTTGAAGAAATGTCTCAAAAGGGTATTGCTCGTGATATCATCACATACAACACCCTCATTCGGGGGTTTTGCAAGACAGGAAAGGTAGATGAGAGCAAACACCTATTGAAAGAACTCCTTACACAGGGTTTACAGCCATCTACTTCCTCATATACCTCTCTTATTGAAAAATTGTGTCAAGTGGGAGAATTGGACAATGCGAAAAGGATGTGGAATGATATGCAGAGTAGGGGTTTGAAGCCAAATGTCTGCTCTTATGACCATATTATTACCGGTTTGTGTGGTAAAGGAGATTACATGGAAGGTTTGGAATGGTTAGTAAGAATGCTGGAAAATAGATTTAAACCGCAGAAGGAAACTTTTGAGGGACTGGTTCAGTGTCTCATACAAAACGATAAGTTGGACGATTCTTTGTTTGTTTTGGACTCTATGTTTAGAATAGGTTATGCACTCAAAGAAGGTATTTGCCATTATTTGGTTACTAAATTTTGCAAACAGAATTTCCATTTTGTTGCGGCATGCCTAGGTCAGATCCTAGAAGAAAATTAATAATAGAGGTTTTTGAGTTTGTTGTTGTAACCTACATTTGATTTTGTTGTAGATGACAAATGAATAATAAGGTTAATTTATTCTAGAAAAAGGTTAATTAAGTCCTCCTGAAACTATAAATGTTTGGAGGACAGTATTTAACTGTAATTTATATGTTAAGATGGGTATATTAGACAGTTTAAATGTGTTAGGGCCATTCAAGGTTAATCTCATGTAGTCTAAGCACAAGTTGGGTCGAAATTTAGTTTGAATTTGTGAAGCTATTCTAAATGGGATGATTCTGATAAACTTATGATCAGTGGTCATGAACTTGGTTCTTGTCATTATCATCACGCGGTGAGAAACTCAATTGTATGAGAAATCTAGCATTTTATTCTCATATATAAATGAAGGAAAGTGCTGGAGATATGGCTTTATCTCATGTAAAATTGAAGTCTGTTCAGATTTCATTGAGAAGATTTTCCCTTTGTACTGATGCTCAATTGAGTAGATCTTGCCATTTTATTGATTAACTTAAGGTGAATCCAATCTTCTTGCTTACTTATTACAGGTTTTGGCTATATTGTTTTTGCCATGACAGCTTATGATGACAGCATTTCTCTTTAGATTGCTGGTATTTAGTTATTGATATTGTTTATAATTCTTTGTCTAGTAGGTTTTTGTTTATAGCGAGGTTCTTAACTTTTCATATTAAAAGTTCATAATATTGCTTATTAATCATCTGGTGTCAGCTTATATTTTGATTGTTTATTTGAGATAGTCCGGTAGATTGTATGAGACACCTAGTTTTCTAGATCTTCTTTTTTAAGCCTTTTTTATACCTTCGCTGGCTTGTATTTTGATTCTTTGTTTGTGATAATCCAATAGTATCGGAATGAAGTTTAATTTTTCTAGATCTTCCTTTTAAGCCTTCTTTAACATCTGAATTGGCATGTAACATCTCGGATGTGATTGCACATCTATGATTGACCAGGTAGGTTAACCTTGAAAGTTTTGCATAATCACTACAAGTTATCATTTTGTTCTTAAAAGTCTAAAGGAAAATTATTTTTGATTTTCTCTTTTAAATAATTATATTATGGGAATGGGTGTTCTTTGGTTTTACCTTTCTTTTGAAGAGAAAAAGGATGTTGTTTGATTATATGCTACCCACTTTTGAATTTTGTCCGTTTGCCTATCTGAATTCAATATTTTCCGCTCCATCATGATGTCACTGCGTTTGATGATGAATATAATTTGCCTAATTTAAAATAATATGTTGCATCTTTTCCGCCCTTCTCTCTGTCCATACATGCATGGTGCGTCAAAATTCTAGGAATTTTGTTATTTATTTTTTTTTTCTTCTTCTTCGTCTGGGATGGAACTTTTAAGTTGTGTTCTATTGAATTTATGCTTTGCTGAAGCTTTGAATTGCATTTCTGAAACTCTGCTGTAAATTAAACTGATAAGTGATCATGGGAACTGAGGAGCCAAAAGATCCTTTGAAAGGAGTTGACCGGAAAGCAATTTGTGGTTAATTGCAGAAAGACCTGAGTTTCAGTACTAAACAAGTTGTAAAGAAGTGGCTTCCAAAAGAAAAATTGGGCAAATTCCAGACTACTATTTTCTTCCTCGAAGATCTCTGCCTTCTGCCATTGCCTTCTATGGAGCATGTACTGCTCTCGGAGTTGGTGCTGGAATGCTGTTGGAAATATGGATAAACAAGAAAGTAAAGGTATTTCTTCAAAATCATTCACGATAGATTATTAGGTCTCTTGAATAGAACATAAGGTGTGCACAGGTCACACTTTGGTTGTGATCTTGTAGTGTGTGGCTTGTGAGGGGTATGCCATGCAAGACCGACCTTGTGGAAGCTGTCAAATGGCGACTGGGATATTCTTGTCGTGATTGTGTCAGGGCACATTCTATGGTGTCAATACCTTGTCTCTGATATATCTGCTCTGAGCTCTAACTTACTGCCAAGGAGTTGGAAGTAAATAAATAGATGAACAAAAATGAGTTGAAATAACAATCCATGGTGATTGTTGATTGATGAATACTACTGTTTCTGTCTTTGCAGTTACAAGCAATAACTTAATCAAGAAAACCATAACATTAGTGTTAGGAAATTGGTAGAATTAATGACAATTGCGCAGTTTGTTGGTAGAAAAGCACCTGAAAACTCCAGAGTCTCTTGGTCGGGAAATGGTGTAATTCATAAAAATTTGCTAGACTGAATTGTTTGGTTGATGAGCACCTAATTATAACTAATGTTCAATTCTTACTCTGTCACTTCACCTTATTATAACTAATGTTCTTCCTCAATATGTATTTTGAATGAAAGAAGCTGAAGTGTCCTTATAAAATTACAAGATAATTTTCATGTTTGAATCACCACTGCTCCTACATAATTCACCATTCGAGATTATCCCATAATCTTTCAGTATAATTTTAATTTATTGTCTTTTATTAAATACTTTATTTCACTTTGATAATGCTTATGGCTAACATATGATTGCTATGGTGTTTATTTCAAAGAAATGATTGATATGGTGTTTCAGAGGATGGAGGCATCATATGGGAGTTTGACAAGTAGAGCAGACATGACACAGCTCAAGTAATGAAATTTTATTTACTTGTACTTTCAACTCTTTTATTCGATTTGGTTGCTGTATGATATATATGAAGGAAGATAAAGCAAATGGCATCTTTATCCTAAAAGCTATGATGAAATTATTCCAAGTTCGCAAACCTAATATACAAGTAAAAATTCCCTGAAGGAGGAAATTATGAGTGGTAAACTGGAATAGATTCATGTTCTTGATGCAGATGAGTTGTTGATTAGTTTGGTAGAGGAGTGTAGTGCAGATGAAGTCTGGCAATCTCTTTTTGGGGAGAACTTATTAATACAATCAATACAGAGATTTTGCAGCTATGATTGTAAATCTTTTCTGTTGGTATAAAAGGACCCAGGTCCCAGGTATGAAGGCCCGGAAACATGGTAAAGATAAGCAGGTAGAAGTAACTTATGTGCAGCTTAAGTATATTTCTCTAATGACAGATTGAAATCTGACTATCCCAAATGATTTTTGTTGATCTCTAATGAAATCGTATCTTATTTTTTACTTGATTTGCATGGTCATGGAACCTCGCTGGGTTTTGTCAGTAAACCTTGAGGAAAGAGTTGGATTGATATTTTTGTGTGGTGGCCCTTACGCAAATGTGCGCGTGGGTGGGGTGTGATTAGAGGATAAAGAAAGCAAGGGGGTGGACCAAGTGTTTCTAAATGTTCAAGTTAGGTTGCAGTTTAACTCGACTTGTAAGCTCGTTTTTCAGCTAAAAATTCGTAGCTAAGTTTTTTTTGCTGAGATTAGCAAAAATTTAGTGAGTATTAGTGATACTTTTGATTTATTGTATGAGACATAAATATATGAAATCACTTCTCTCTGTAGAAACACATTTAGGCATATTGTATTAAATTTGTGAAATCTAGAAATGCAATTATGTATTCCCACTCTTGTTTTTGATAATTGACTTGCAGATGTTGACTTTTCAGCTCTTTGATTAGTTCCAACTCGAACTTCTGATTTGTGGTAATATGTGAGGAAGGATCTCCGTATTTTCTAAATTCATGCCTGCAAATCATATCATTAGCCCAATTTTTAACCTATAATCTTAAATCTTAATAAATATATTAATACAAAAAAATCATAAAATTCTTTTCCCTTTGTGAATAATAAATCGGATATTTTGTTTATCCTACAGAATCAATTTTTTAAAACCTAATATAGGCAAGAGGCTGAAGTTTCAACAACAAAAAGAAATTCTTCAAAGAAACAAACAAAGAAGTCTAGAAAACAGCGCATTCTGGCCGTTGTTTTAGACGGCATTCGTGATCGAGGGATCCCAGCCGTCCACTTCGAAATCTTATGCCATTTATCATTGGGCTGTACTCCCTCAATATAACCGATCGGGTAACTCTATCATCCCCCTCTCCAATTACCGCCAACATCACAACTTCCCCGAACCACTGGCCAATAAATAAAATCCCTTCATTTTCCTGAGAACCCAAGAAAAAACACGCAGAGAAATCAAATTCCAATTTCGACGGACTGAGAAGATGGAGAAGGCGTACGGATACTCGAGCGTCAGCACAAGCTCAAGCGTTCCCTTAAAGGCGAGCAAACCGGAGGACGTGGACCTAGAGATCGGAGGTGGTGATACCCTCTATCCAGGGCTCGGCCATGGAGAGAATCTCCTTCGATGGGGCTTCATCCGCAAGGTCTACGGCATCCTCTCCGCCCAGATCCTTCTCACCACCTTCGTCTCGGCAATTGTTGTTCTCAACCCCTCCGTCAACAACCTCCTCCAGGGCAGTTCCGGTCTTCTGCTTTTGCTCTGCATCATCCCCTTTATTTGTAAGTTTCCTCTGACCATCTCTTTTATACTTCAAAAATGTGTTTCTGTTCTAGATCTTTATTATAAATATCCCTTTTTCCGTTCCGTGTGTATTTCCTTTTCTCGATTGGTCTGTTAGGGTTCTATAGGGTTTTTCTGCGTGCGTCTATATGTACGTGTATGATTGAATGTTAGCGGAAATAGTTCGCGTATTATTCATAAGCCTGTCTGACTATGAGTATTTGGATGATTTAGGGTTTAATTAGTTCTGATTTGTACATTTATGCTGATGATCTAATTTTATTTTATTTTGTTATATCGGTAATGAATTTGGGTTCAATTTCCGTCGAAGCTATTGTAAAATATGGGTTTTGACCTTCTCCTGGTACTGTTCGATTTTCAAATCTCTAGCAGATTGTGTCTTGCCCCTTGTACATTTGGTGGCTATAAAATTCCCTATCTGGTTTATATCTATTCACTTTTGCATGCAAAGCTGATCTCGAGAAAGGAAGTTATGATCTGTTCAAGTCAATTTTCTTTATATAATACAAAAGTTATAAAAGCATCACAGGTTTGAAACTCTAATTCCCAGAGAGGATCGTGCAAATGAATTTTGTGTAGTTTTATGGGGTTGTTACCTAAATGTGAACTCAAGCCTCTCCCGTTCTTTACCAGTTGTTTTTCTATCTTTTTTTATGCTTCTATATCTTGGAGGTGGAAGTTTAGGTGATGTAGGCTTGGGCTACATTTTTTTTAGTTTGAATTATATTGTATTTTTATCTTTGTCTTGAAAGTGGTTTTAGGTTGATACTAATCCAGTTGCCCTCTGAATCATTATGTTAGGTCATATAAATTTTGTTGTTACAGCATCAAAACTTATGCTGTCAACAAGTGTATTTTTCGTATAATCAATGGTTACACTCCTCTGCTTTGTGTAAATAATAAACCTTAAATCTATGCAGTGATATGGCCCTTGCATATGTATCACCAGAAGCACCCAGTCAATTTCATTATCCTGGGGCTCTTCACTGTCTCACTGAGTTTTACAGTTGGTGTAAGCTGTGCAAATACAGATGGTATTTTTCTCCTCTCAGACCCCATTTGCTTCTTGTTGCAATGTTGAATTTTCTTGTCTATTTTACTCAATGGCATGCTAATCCTTTTATCATCTCTTTGCATCATGTGCTTTCAGGAAGAATTGTGCTTGAAGCACTAATCCTGACATTGGCTGTGGTTTCATCTCTGACTGCATACACTTTCTGGGCTGCGAAGAAGGGCAAGGATTTCAGCTTCCTTGGACCAATTTTATTCACCAGTCTCATCATCCTCATCGTAACTGGGTTCCTACAGGTTTTGTGTCTTCCTAATCCAGCTACCACATATCAACCATCAACAGTTTAACATGTAAATTCCTGATTTTGTAAATTTTTTCGTTACTTTGCAGATGTTCTTTCCACTTGGCCCAACATCTGTTGCTGTTTATGGTGGAATCAGTGCTTTGATTTTCTGTGGCTACATAGTCTATGACACTGACAACCTGATCAAGCGCTTCACATACGACGATTACATATTGGCCTCTGCCTCTCTCTATTTGGATATCCTGAACCTCTTCCTTTCCATTCTGCGGGTGCTAAGGCAGACGGACAATTAAATGTATGAAAAAATCACAACATGTTGCACAGTTATGATATCATTTGAAAACTGAAACCTACTATGGAAAAGTATCATACGCAGATTATTGTCGGGGCATAGCAGCCTGCAGTTACTTGCATTTTACATTTGGATGAACTGAGTAACTTTTACAATTAAGTACCTCCCATTTTCTTCTCTCTTCTGCATGCGGCAAGATGTGCCAGTTTCATTTATGTAATCTTCAAAAAGCCACTACTGGATGTTTTTGTTCTTTGATATATGTAGTAGAAATGTCTTACAGTTTCTCATTAGCTAATGTGTAGTTGTTATTATATCTTATTCCCGTATGTGAAACTGTGTGTATCATTTGATACAGTTTGCAACTATATTTTATTACAATTTGCTCGGTATTTTTCTTGCTATCATATATTTAACAAACTGTAATCCATGTCGAAGAAACGAATATTGAGAAGCAAATATAATCAATTATAGTAAAAAGTTAATATCAAGATAGTAATAAAATATAGTTAAACATAGTAATTGTATTTATATAATTATGTGATTAAAAATGTTCGTATATTTAGTGCTATTTATAATATTTAATCATAAATCATAATTATAAT